GGACGAAGCTCATATCCTTGTATCATCCTTTCCTAGGTCTCCTCCAGCCTGGGGTTCAAAGACCATGTCTGAGGAGACCGAGCCAGGCAGCCAGCTGTGCACAAGACAGGCATCGGCACCCCAGTGGTATGTACAGGCTCCTCCCCTCTCAGACCTATGCCCACCCTTTCCCCGCCCCCACCAGCTTACTACCACTATACTCTTGGATTTTTGCTATCCATGATCAAACATCATTCTAGAACCCTGTGAAAAGGTTGTATGTCTTCTTTAGTCTCACAAAATGCAGGTCGACCAGGGTCAGCCACGTTAATTCTAGACCAGGGACCCCCTCTGGACCAGAACTTATAGGAACCGCCTAGGTTTTAAATGGAGGCAATTTGGGATGAAATGAACCCTTTCCAGCCAGCAAGCCTGCGCTTCATTATCCCTGACCATTTACAACAAACACTGATGTAAAGGCGCCTGGATTACATAAAATCACTGAGTTCTGTGGGCAGCTTGGTTTGGTTTTTGCCTCCAGCCCTTCTGTTTGCTTGCTGCGTGCCCTGGCAGGACTCCAGACAGGACAATTATACCATCCTGGCTGAGCCTCGAGCTTTCCAGCTAAAGGTCTAAGTCTTAACTCCCCTTTTTTCTGTAATTCCAACCCTGTCATCTCCATTCTGGTAAATTCTGTAATCAAAGTGGGCTGATTCCAATTTGCTTGGCTGGCATGTTCAAGTCCATTCTGTGCAGCTTACAGCCATGGTTGGGCAGTAGCTATGCCCACCAATGATCCAGTACAGGGACACGGTGGAGCCAGGCTCCACAAGCCAAAGGAACAGCTTCTCCACCCTCTGGCTGAGTCTCCACTGGCAAGACTCCTAAACTCACTGAGCCGCGGGGTTTCCATTTGTAAAATGGAAATATAATGGGACATCATTTTGGTCGAGTCATATTAGAGCTGCACTAGACATAAAGGAGTGATTTCTTGGCAGCAAGACTACCAGAGGTGGACAAGGCACTGCCATGAGCTCCTATGAGCCATGCAGTTACTTGGTGAAGTAGCCAGAGTGCTTGACCCTCACATCACAGGTGAGAAAACCAAGGTCAGAAAATGGACTTCTCCAGGCCTCTCCTGGCTCTGCGCTTTGTAACTGGGACCGAGGACTGAGGCACACTCTAATCGGAAATAAGCAGAAGCACCCGCCAGCATGACTCCGCAGGTGAGGAAAGCATTGATGAAGGACCCAGATGGCCTTATCAGCCTGCCACCGAGAAACTTTCACATCCACAGAAATACATACGTGCCCTCATCCCAACAGACACCATGAGATACTAAAGACTTCATGAACCTGCCATTCAAGGGTTAATTCTTCCCACAGCTCTTTGGAAAGAGTCACAGGGAGCAAACTGGGCCAGACCAAGGCAGAGGGTGGCCCTTGCCAGCTGTCTCTTCTCTACTTTTCCACTCAAATAAACATTGCCCAAACAGTCCCTTGCAAGAGACTTGCAGCTAGCACAGGCGTTGAGGGGGAATTGAGAGAGGAGAGAAAGAGAGTAGGGTGTAGGGGGAGTTTGTGAAAGGAGAAGTGGTTTCTGAAAAAGTGGAAGTGTCTATGTCCTAAACAGAAGAGCAGCTACTCTAGAATCTTCAGCATTATGTCTAGAAGCAGTTCAGAATACTACAGAATCATTTATTCCTTTTTTCAAAATGACATTTGAATTTTTTTAAAGAAAATAACAGAGAGCTACAATCTCCTCACACATTGCTTCTCTCAGCAAAACTGCAATTTTAGTGTCTAGTGGAATGTTCTATGCCAATAAAAAGACTCCTACAGGGACCAGCAGTTGGTGTAATGACTATGTCACTGGACTCACATGTAGTTGACCACGGTTCAAGTCCCAGACCTCGTGACTTAAACTGAGGCCGGGTGCGTGCCCAAGATGCTGAGAGAAGAACGGAGAAGGGATTGAGGCGTGGCCATCCTCCCTGGGGAGTGATTTCTCCTTTCTGTCTCTCTGTCTTTCTCTGTTTTACTGGTGAGCGCACATACCCTATAGCAAAAACCTCTCAAAAAAAAAAAAAAAGGCTCCTACTATTTAAAAACCCTTTATCATAAAAAGAATCCAACTTCATGAAGCACTTTAATATTCACAGGACAGGATTTGAGAAGGTGCCAAAAACTTGCAAGATAGCTGGGCCCATATCATGCCCATTTTGCAGGTAAGAAAGCTGTTGCTATAATATTCCTCTTTTCCCAAGATACAGGATATTTTCATTAAATCCAACTGGTGAAAATATTAATTCACAGGAAAAGACAACTTAGGACATGAGTTACAAGATCAGATAAGGTTATTCCATTTGAAAATATTCCATTTCCGTACAACTTGTCAGAATCCATTGGAAAGTGAAGGAAGTTGCTTTTTTATTGTCAGGGAAATTTGTTCTATGTTAATTTAGTGTGAGCTGTAATAAATGCTGACAATATTATCCTTAAAAGAAGTCCCCAAGGAGGGGCCAGCAGTTAGCATAATGGCTATGTTGCTGAACTCCCATGTAGTCGACTGTGGTTCGAGTCCCAGACCCGGTAGCTTAAACTCACGCCGGGTACGGGTGCGTGCATGCCCAAGATCCTGAGAGGAGAATGGAGGAGAAGGGATTGCGGGGTGGCCATCCCCCCTGGGGGGGTGACTTCTCGCTTTGTCTCTCTGTCTCTCTCGTGAGTGCACACACCCTATAACAAAAACACCTCTCCAATAAATAAATAAATAAATAAATTTTTAAAAATTAAAAAAAAAGAAGCCCCCAAGGGGACCACCAGGTGGTGTGGTGCTTAAGGCACTGGACTCCCACATGGCCAAATGTGGTTCAAGTCTCAGACCTGGCAGCTTGAAAAATCACCGTGGGTGCATGTCTGTGCATGCCCAAAATCCTAGGAGGAGAATGAAGGAGAAGAGATTGCAATGTGCCCATTCTCCAGAGGGGGTGATTTCTCAGTTTCCCTCTCACTGTCTCTGTCACTGTCTCTCTGGCGAGCACACATGACACCTGTAACAAAATAACCAACCAACCAACCCTGAGGCAGCACTCACCTGCCCAGTTTGAAAAGATAAGACTCAGGGCCAGATGGTGGCCTCGTGGTATAATGTGATGCTCTGGGAAGCAATCTTTCATGCGAGGGTTCCCAGTTCAGGCCGAGAGACCTCCCTGACCATGCTGGGCACGTGGTTGCCAGGGGTCTAGACTGAGTGAAGGCTGGGGTGGACCATGATTTAAAGACCCCACTGCAGGTTCATGTTCTCTTTCTATCACTGTCTCTCTTGCTCATGGAAGAAATAAATATACATCTTTAAAAAAAAAAAGGTTTCAATAAAAAACAAAGCCTCATATCCAGTGTTGTGGCTGACACTGCCTTGATGCTGTCATTCATATTGCTGTCCACTAAGAAGTCACTCCTGTCCTCACAAAACCACCATGATAACATGAGCATTTTACATGAAACTCATTCATGATATCACTCAGCATAAAAACTGGCACGTGCTTGAGTCTCTCAAAAGACTCTTAGTGCCTGCTTCCAGTTCAGAGCAGTGACCTCCACATACACCATGACAGTCCCGGAGATTGTACATGAAGTCTCCCCACATTAGCGGGTGGTGATGCCGAATTTGAAAGAATAGGTCAGACTGTCCCTCTCCCTTCCACAATGTAATTGTCCTCTCATATTTTACGGGAGAAAAAAGAAAAAAGGCCACTTGAAAATCTGTGTTTTAAATAAAAAGACTTTATTTATGAAATAAGATAGCAGCTAACAAGTTAAGAAAGCTTAGGAAAAAATATTTGGCTAAGTCATAAAATTAGTCAATTTTAGTCATCTGTAAAGTGCTGAGAAACGTATTCCTGGTAAATGCCTGCATTAGGTTTTTTTTTTCCTTGTTATTCATCCAGTAATAAAACACTGATATATAAATACATGTTGAGCACAACGGAACTCACTGACTACCCACACACCTTGAGATGGAGAACTGGCTCTAGGATGGCAGGAAGCAAACCTGTGCTTTCTGCGGGGACATCTAAATGACACAGAGTGTTGGTCGGAGGTCAGTTTTCTGGGCCTGGGTCCCATTGCCAGCAACAGCACACCCACATTGACGAGCACCAGGAATCATTCAGAATGTACATTCACAAGGGACAGAGCATTCCAGGTCAACAGGTGCAAGAAACCACAAGGAAGAACCAACTGAGACGTCTCCTGCATGTTTCCTACAATACTAACACACGCATATTTCTAATGTGGCTGTGAATACTACATAATAGAAGAAGAGGAAGATAATTTGGTGTTGATGCTTGAGTCTAAATGTTGATAGGTACTGAACATTTTGGTTTAAAGCAATTACTATTTATGGAATGCCTTAGATAACATGTCGACTAAAACATTAAAATCTGTTAATTGTTTAATAGAAAAATGCAATATAAAAATACTTTGTTAAAATATATAGTTCACACATTATACCACTTTGGAAAACTCAGTTCACCTGAAAACAAATTATACGTATCTGGGCTGGCAGAGTCACCTGGCTTTTTAAATCTTAGTTACAAATTCTGTTCAGGAATTTTAAAAATATAGAATATAAATAGAAGTGAATCTGAATCAAGTAAAATTATTTTAAGAATTGTTAATAAATTTCTACACTACTGAATATACTATTTTTCCCATAAATTCTTAGTCTGCAAACTCTCAGTATATAATACACAGACAGGTATGAAGCTGATGAAGTTTAACATTTAGTATTTATGTATGGTCTACAGCAGTCAAAAAGGATGTGGTTGTACCAGCCAGACGGTTTGGTGGTTAAGGGAGCTAGATCCCACATGGCTGACTCCACAGTTTGATTCCTGGACCCAGCAGCTTGAAAATCACACCAGGCACATGTGCGTGTGTGCCCGAAATTCTGAGAGGAGAATGGAGAAGGGATTGTATATGGCCATCCCCCCAGGGGTGAATTCTCACTTTCCCTCTCTCTGTCTCTGTCTCTCTGGTGAGCACATCTACTCTAGCGCAAAACTTAAAAAAAAAAAAAAATCAAGAATGTGGTGTTTTCCCAGAACTTTACTCAGTGACTCACAAACTGTATCCATCTTCCACTTCCTTTAGAAGTGTTCACATTTAGTTCTGCTGTGTGGAAGAGAAGGAAAGAGCTGGCCGCGATGATGCATGATGATGTTGCACATTTCCTTCCCAAAGACGGTTTTCAATAGATCCCCAACCAGTGTAGACAGAGCTCAGTTGCTCACACCATCTGATTTAGATGAGAAGTCAATTCTTGACTGCGAATTCAGATACCAGAAGACGTGCCGTCCTGCCTATACGTTCAGCAGCGGGGGGATCTGCCAGACCATCACGGAGGACACCAGCTCCTCCTGGCCTGGCTGCCTGGCCTTCCTGTGCACCCGTCTGTGGCCCTGGCCTCCACACACCACCAGTGCTGAGCTGGCCCTGGCTTTCCTGGACCGCCGTGCTTTGCTCCGAAGTGAGGTGGGGTCCTTAAGGAGGTCGTAGAGGATGCTGTCCTCTGCTCTGTGCTCGAGAGAGCTGGAGCCGTGGGACAAGCTCAGGGATCCGGATGAGGAAGACAGATCGCTTTTCTGACTCATCAATCCTGGCGGATCTCCCAACCAGACGGCCCCGTCAGGGTGGCTCTGGCTGGGGCAAAAATTGGATTCCTCACTGGGAAGCACGTCCTTCTGGTCCTCCTCCTGGGGGTCAGGGACAGAGGGCAGGCTGTCCCTAGATTTGTCTTGGTCTTTCTTGTGTAAAGCTGTAGCCATGACAATGAATTTCACAGGACCGTTATGTGCATGGTAGGAGACCATACCTCTTCCTGAAAAGAGGAAAGAGTTCAGCTCTTGTCTTTAAAAGAAACAATCTATTACAGAAGAATAGAGAAAGTCCATGATTCACCTCAACGCACCTCGCTCCACCCAAATAACAAAACCCTGGAAGTAATGTTAGTACCTGAATGATAGGTGAAAATAAAAATAGCTTCTGAAGGGTAATCTTAAAGATGTTTGGTGGATTTAAATAATTTTTTGGAAAATGACTATCCAGAACACAATACTGTATTGTTTTCCAGCAGCACCTCAGTTCCTACACTCCTACCATACTTTCAAAGTAGTAAAGTAGTCATTTTCCTGTTCTCTGCATGGAACACCTCTTTCTTGCTCTATGGGAATGTGTTAGGTTTTCCTAAGTCTTTATTTAAAAGATTAAAGCCTGGAATGTGTTTAATGAATAAGATGCCCAAGTTATAGGTAGCTTCTTGCCATTTTTTTTTTCATTACAAAAAGGTTCTGCAGTTAGAACAAGTTAATTCTGTAGTTTCAATTAAGATTAGGACTTTTAGGGCCCAGCTGCAGTGGTTCATGCTGCTAACATGCTCTACTCAGAGGCTGAGGTCACAGAAATGTCCAGGTTTGTCTCCTGGATGGATGTAGTGGCTCATGTCTGTAGACCTAGCTAACTGGGAAGTGGGACAGGAGAGAAGAGAAGAGATCCTGTTGACATCAATCTATCTCTTATTCATACATATAAACTAATATATTTTTAAAAATGACTTTTCAGGTTTCAAGAGATACAATTTAAATTTAAAAATTATCATCCGTGTCAGAAACACCTGTAAACCTTCTTAGGCAATGTAGATGTCTCCTGGAATACTGACTGATTCCTTGGATGTTGGGTGGGACTGACCGTATTTTTGGGGTGCTTCACAGATGATATGCCATTGGGATAGAAGCATCCCTTTTCACCAAATGCTTTCAGGTTGAAGCAGGCCCAGCCCTAACCATTATCCTACCCTGGCTAGAGCAGATTAAATGATAAAACCTTCCCATGGGGAGAGCCCATTGCTCAATGAACAGAAGGCAAAATAAAGAAGGCTGCCCAAATGGGGAGCAGGTGGGACTACAGAGAGTCACACCTGCATGTATGCCCACCATGAATTGATACCAAGCACCTGGGGTGACATCTCAGTGTCACCAAGTGAAGATGAACACCTGTATTCCTACGTACTGGCACTCTCACCCCTACATATACACCTGGAGGAACCTGTGCTGTGGAAGCAGAGGTGGTCGTGTGAATAGTCACAGGCATTATGTGTAAACACCTGAATATCCATCAAAGGAAGTATGGGCAGGAGGGGTAAATACTTTTAAAGGCATACTGTACAGCAATGAAAAGGAAGGGGTTACAGTTGTACCACCAAGGATGATCCTCAGAGAGTGACGAAAGAGAAAAGCAACAGAGGAATGTGTACTTTATAAAAACAATGATGGAAAATGGGAAGACAGAATATTAAAAAAAAATTTTTTTTTTTTAGCCTAGCCTAAGTTGTGCGGTCCACAGTGCACTGGATTGCCAACCATGGGTTTGGATCCCCAGATCTGCTTGAAAACATGCCAGGCAAGCATGTGGATACCCAAGATTCTAAGGGCCTGGAAAACTAGGGAAAAGATCTTGGTGTGACAAGACCCTGCCAGGATGCTTCTTTCTCTCTCTTGCACACATGTGCATCATTCTCTGGCACTAAAAAAAAAAAAAAGAAAGAAAAGAAAAAGAAAAAAAAAAAAGTCTTTAAAGTTTGGTAGACTTGGAAGTTTGCTTAAAAAATAAAAGATTTTCTCCAGAAGAAAATCAGTGAAATGGTTATCTTCACAGCAGGATAGTAGTTACCCCTGCTGTATCTTCTCTCTGTGGACATGGGGACAGAAGAAATGAGTTTGGGGAGGGGTAGCAGGGGCTCTGCTATGGAAACCATGTTCCATTTCCTAGGCCAGGTGGCAGGCACGTGATCTTTTTCCCATTACCGCCTAAACTATGCATACTTGCTATTTATAATTCTAGGTAATTATAAGATAAAGAGCATAATAAAATAGAAAATAAGAAACGAATGAACACAGTAGGAATTCACGGCACTGCTGTGGCAGGGTAGCAATGGCACAATACTCTCCAATGCTGGAAACCATATAGAAGACTGAGGTTCATTTCCTTGGTCAACCTAAATGTACAGTTGAACACGCACAGGTGCCCGGGATCCCGGGGGGAGGACTGCAGTAAGAGGAGTGCTAAGGGTGCGTCTCTCTTTCTCTTGAAGTAAGTAAACTGAGTATTTTTTAAAATTGGAATTTCTTAATCTTTATTGGTGCACATGCCAAGGTATAAATTTATTAAACCACAGACCTACTTACGATAGAGCTACTAGAGCTTGTTGAGGGGAAGAAGGTATATCTAAAATGAGAGAGAGACAGTCTTGGCTGGACGTTAGGTAGAAACAATAAAAATTTAATCTTTATTAACAATTTTTTGAGTCCCTACAAATCTTTTCCTGTTAATATTTGTCCCCAATGGCTGATATAAAATTTGACATCTTGGTTTTACTCAACTTATGGCGTCGACATTTTTCTTTATCGTTAAAAGTTCTCCACACACTTTATTTTTGCTGGCTGCTTTCTAGTCTATTGATGGCAATTCAACCATTTTCTATCGTGCTATTCCTAATTTTGAAAATTGAGATTGTCTCTTGTTTTGAGCTATTAAAAATTAAATATTGGGCCAACCAGTGGTATGGTGGTTAAGGAAGCTGAAGCCCCCATGGCTCATGGCATGGTTCAATTTCTGGACTTGACAGCTTGAAACACAAACTGGGCACATATGCATGCCCAAAATCCTGAGAGGAATGCAAGAGAAGGGACTTTTTCACTGCCCACCCCTAATCCCTGCGTGGCTCTGCAGGGCACACGTGCCCTCTGGAAAAGTTTTTTTAAAAGTTAAATGCTGTGGCAAATGTCTTCTTGCATCACATTTTGTTCCTAGTTGGGCTTGTCTCCTAAGACAGATTCCTGAATTGGACATCCTGATGTCAGACACATGATCTCATTCAAGACTGATGATCCCTCCGCCAAACTGCTGTCCAAAGAGCTGTACCAACTTGATTCCCTGCCATCACTGCAGAAAGAGTACAACTGAGCCTTTTCAGATCTTGACCTCCCTTCTTCACAATAGGAAACATAAAAGCCCCCATTTTCATTGAGCAAAACTAAAATAATGAAGCTAATTGGTGACAACACAGAAATAATATAAAAACATTTTTTTCAGGATAAGATTCTCCTTGGAGCACCAATACAAGAAATAGAAAAGCAACAGTATAAATTGACCGTTCAGATTTAATAGATTTAGTTTATTAAGTTTTATAGTAGTACATTGAAAAACTACTCCAAGTAACTTGAATTGTTTAAACAATCCTAGCACGTTAAATTACAACGGAGACTGACATGCATAATGATATTGGTTACAAGACGGGATGAACTACCTCCATCCCACATAAGGGTCCACTCACCAGTCACTTTGGGAATCCCCTGCAGACGAGGAACTGGCAGGGCCACGACGATGCCCAGGCTGGTGCCAACCATCAGCAAGCCATGGCAGACGAGCAGGCTGGTCACAGACAGCCGCTGGTGCCCTGGACAAGGAGACAGAGAAGTGGCTTCGTGCTCTTCAGATTGGTTTGTTCGGCAGTGCCGGGAAGGGACAGTCAATGAGATGTTTGGGGAGCTGTTTGGAAACAACACAGACTGACAGCTGTCTTCCCATGCTGAAGCCAAGCCCTCGGGGCAGGATTTGTCATGTGAGCTCTTCAGCTAGTCAAGAAAGATAAAGATCTCGGGAATGTTGACTTGAACCTCACTGAACAAAACAGCAGGGAGTCGGCAGCACTTGCTCTCCTGTTCTGTTTTCTGAATTGCTCTGATTGGCTTTTTCAGAGGTGAAGCAAGCCTGGGATCATCAGTTAAGCCATTTGCTCCTATACAATGTAGACACGCATGCACATACATACACACATATGTAGCAGCTGGTGGTTCTTTGAGAGCCCAGAGTCAGCCCTTCACAAATGAGCAATGAGCAGTGATCTCCTAACAGGCCAGACTAGACTTCCGGAGTGGCCAGCATGCGGTAACATGACTACACTACAATGCTGTCTAATAGGCTTTCCAGGTGCTCTGTCAAAAGGTCCATCTCCTGGACTCAGGGCTAGACATGGTATGGAAAACACTGACACCAAACACTGGAGTCAGAAAGGTTTTCTAAGTGTTTATTTTTTAAAAGTTTATTTATTATTATTTAATATTTAAACACACACACACACACACACACACACACACGAGTTGGGGGAGGCATGAAGTGAGAAAGCCTCCAGGTCTGGGACTCGAACCATGGTCGATCACGTGGGAGTCCAGCACCCTTAATCACGCCACCTGCCGCCCCTTGTATTGTGTTTTTGCTTTACAGCCAAAGATCTGAAGGGACTAGAAAGGGGCAGAGGAAAAAAGCAGTTGAATCAGGCTTCAAATATCTCTCATATGGCTCTAATTTTAAGGGGTGATTCTGGACTTTCACATAATACTGTTGCCTCTGACACTCTCATGAGCATGTTTTCAAAGAGGGATTTATGAAAACTTCTATCATTTCTGTGTCACCCCAAAGCTGGTGAGCATAGGAGGCTAATTCTTGTGAGTTTGCTCCTGAGAGACCAGAATGAATGCTTGAGTATGGTTCCTTTCTGTAGACACAGAAGTCATTTTCAGCACCACATGTCCCCCTTAAGTGTATAAAGTTAGCTAAAGAGCATGAAAAGCAAACATTCCAATACCAGGGACAAAGGGAGATGAGCTGAGCGTGTCCACAGAAGTCATTTGTCTGAACTACTTAGGCAACAGCAAAACGACACCACCACTAAACAAAAGAAAAAACAGCAAACAACAGGCATTTGGTTTTTATTGCTAAACATTGATTCATACATTGATTTATACATCAATGTTTACTGCGGCACTATTCACAATTGCTAAGTCATGGAACTAACCCAAATGCCCACGAACAGATGAATAGAGAGTAAAACTGTGGCACATATACTCTATGGAATACTATTTAGCCATAAAAAAACCACAACAAAACCCTGGCTTTTGACTGGAAGTGGATGCATATGGAAGATTTGCTGCTGAGTGAACTAAGTCAGGCTTTGAAGGAGAGGCATTGTATGTCCCCACTTAATATATACTGAGTGTCTGTACTCTATGACTGAAACTAATTGACTAAAGGATATAGAAACACCGTATATAGATATAAATACCAGATACAGTGTGTGCGGAAGAGTAGGGTCTGAGAAAGGACATTTAGAAGAAAAGTAGGGAGGCAAAGCATTAATGGGACAAAGAAATATGATATTATCTGTTGAAGATATTTTACAGTTTTATCAACTGGACTAGGGAGACATGTTCAGCTGTTGAAATATTCATTTTGTAAGCTAAATAATGTGATTGAATATATAAAAGAAAATGAAATAAAAATTGTAATAAATAAATAAAATATTGGGGCCATCAGGTGGACTCCCACATGCCCAACAACAACAAAAAAGGTAGTCACGTTTTTCTAAAAAAAGATAATCATGTTTATGTCCCCTGGAATTCTGAATATCCACCTGTTTTTGAGTAGCTCGAGTCTTTGCGATATACTGGAGCGGTGGGTAATCCACAACATTGTCCTATGAGTGAGCAAGGTGCTTTTACTTTCAAAAACTAGTGAGCGCACCAGCTTTGTGGCCTGGTGGTTAGGAAAGCCAGAGCTCACAGGGCCCATCACGCAGTTTGAATCCTGGCCTGAGTGGCTTGAAGAACATGCCATGTGCATGTGCGTGTGTGTGTGTGTGTGTGTGTGTGTGTGTGTGTATGTGCCCCAAATTCCAACAGAAGGGAGATACATACATAAGGAATTGCGGCATGACCACACCCCAGGGGGATGGTTTCTCCTCCCTCTTTATCTGTCTCTATCTCTGGTGAGCTCAAATGCCCTCTGGCAAGTTAAAGAAAAGTTAATGAGAAACACTGAAGAGGTGGAGGTTTAGAAGTTAATGCTGCGTGTAATTTACAACTCCTATTACTGACTGTTACTTCACCATGTTATAAGATGGCGCCTCTGATGGTGGGGGGCTGACCCCAACATGTTAGGGGACACTAAAGTAAATACAGATGTATCAGTTTGACTCCATGGCAATAATTTTTTTTTTTTTTTTTTTGGGGAGAAATTTTTTTTTATAGGGCGCCTGTGTCTGCCCCCAGAAATAGAGACAGAAAGCAAGAAATCACCCCTCTGTGGGGATGGCCACTCTGCAACCCCTTCTCCACTCTCCTCTTAGGATTTTGGCATGCATGTATGTGTGCCTTATGTGAATTTTAAGCTGCCAGGTCTGGGACTGGAACCGCGGTCAACTATGTGGGAGTGCAGCAACATAACCAGTATGCCATCAGCTGGCCTCCTTCATGGTAGGTATTTTAAGTCTTAAACATGCCATCTCAGGGAGACAGCAAGCAAATCTGCATCCAGGCATAAACTCTGAGCCTGCTCTCTCCGTCTTCCTTAAGATTTGTGGAAACCTTGGCAAGGCTGCTGGGAGAAAGTAACGCCTGGACTTGGTTTCCCACCTGAACTTTGTTTATTTAAAACAGTAGCTCTTTCCAACAGTGCCTGATGTATGGGTCTGAAATATTATTTTCCATTTAAAGCTTCTAACTTTTTTAAAGAATTATTTTATTTAACTATATTCATTTATTTATTTAAATTTGACCAGAGAAGGACAGAGCGACCAAAAGAGAGAGAGAGAGAGAGAGCAAATGAGAAAGCAAGCCACCAGGTCCGGGATTCAGATCGCAGTCGGCCATGTGGGAATCCAGTGCCCTTAACCACCACACCACCTGCTGGCCCCTAAAGCTTCTAATTTTAATAACCTCGTCTCATAACATAATGACCATAACTGAGTGCAGAATCTCATCACGACAGAGATGGTGCTCACTTCCTGTACCTCAAAACAGGACTGATTTTCTTGCCATATAAAAGCCATTTGTAGCTCAGCCTGGTGGCACAGGCTGCAGCGTACTGAACTGCAGTGCTGGAACCCACGTGGCTACCAAGGGTTTGGATCCCACGTCAAGCTGAAACATGCCAGACGCACGTGCCCAAGATCCGACTAGCTGGAGGGCTAGGGAAGTGATCATGGGGGGAGACCCTATCAGAAGTGCCTATCTTTTCCACTCACAGAGCCGACATACCATCTCCAGTCAAGGAGGGCAGCCTGGAAGAGGCGCTGGTGAGAGGCTTACATGGTGCCATCCACATTTATGCAAATATTTACAATAAATATACAGAGTAACAAATAAAAACAAACAAGTCTTCAAAGTATGGCAGGACACCGCTACAAGGGAAATCCACTGTCTCCCCTTCTGGCCCAGATCATAAACCAAAGAATAAACCAGGGCCGATATGCTGGTTAATACGAGATGACTGTGGCCGAAAGAGCATGCAAAACCCAATTCCCCAGATTTGTTCCTTAATTGGTAAATAATCTTGAGTCCAGTCTGGTTCATTCAGTTTCCTTCTGAAACTGTGGTCTATGGCAGTGATCCCCAATCTTTTTGGCACCAGGAATTGGTTTTGTGGAAGACAATTTCTCCATGGACTGGAGCAAATGGGATGATTTCAGGATGATTCATACACATTAATTTATTATGTACTTTTTTTTTTATTATTACTATGCTATAATAATAAAGACCAGTACTGGTCCGTGGCCTAGAGGTTGGGGACCCCTTGTCTATAGTATTCAGAATAATTATACTGTTTTTTTTTTTTTTTAAGTGGAAATGCTGGGGCTGGCAGGTGGCATGGTGGTTAAGGGTGCTGGACTCCCATACAGTCAACCGTGGTTCAAGTCCCGGACCTGATGGCTTGTGTTCTCGCTTTCCCTCTCTCTCTCTCTGTCCCTCTCTGGTCAAACGGAAAAGAAGAAAGAAAGAGAGAGAGAAAGAGAGAGAAGGAGGAAGGGAGGAAGGGAGGGAGGGAGGGAGGGAGGAAGGAAGGAAGGGAGGGAAGGAGGGAGGGAGGGAGGGAGAGAGAGAGGGAGGACGATAAAATAAAATAATTCTTAATAAAAAAGAGGAAACACTGCCATTTTATTTGGTCATTGTCACTCCTGTAGGCTATCCATTTGCTCAGTGGAGACAGAAAGGCTAAATTTAACATGGAACCTCAGACTTTTCCATAAAAAATACCCTTTCAGTGTTCCGTAAAAAGCAGGAAACATGCATCGGGATGTAATTTCTTGTGACTGCTTAAAACCCAGATCAGATCATTCGCCTTTCAACTTACTTACTGTAAGTTCTACTCCTTTATAAGTTAGAAATGCAATCACCACTTTAAACAGTGTGCACGCTACTTACAGCATGTTTTACCAGTCGTTACACTGTGTTAAATTGGGTGTGGTTTATGAGAAAAAAAATGACTGCATAGTTTTCAGAACTAAATTCAAGTAAGAGAAAGAAAAAGTCTCAGCTCATTAGATACAGATCTGTGTCTTCCACAGGGGAAAGGACACCGAGACCTCCGAGGAAGGAAAGAGATTTAATCAAGTTTTGTCAACAGAGAAAAGGTGTAAGTTACAGTATTTTTTAAAAGTTTGTTCTTTCTGGTTTGGCATATCTTCTTCTATAAAACCTTACTTCATTTTTACATTCCAGCAATAGCACAAAAAGATGATTTTTACATACTACTGAACTGTAGGTACAGATACATACATATGTGTGTGTATGTGCATGTATCAAAACCTTGTGGGGCAACATCATGAATTCAACTCTAGAGTGGAGGATTTGTCTACTTGTGAAGACAGGACATGTGGAGGCTTTCAGGAAACATCCTGAGTAGTGATAAACAGAAGTTTCCAGCGTGTGTTAATAACCCAAGTGACCTCATAGTCAATATACTTAAATATAAACATACACTAATTGAAAGGTTTATACAGAAATTAAAATGCGATAATGTTTCTTGCTCTGAAATACTGGCTAAAAGGTGAGATGATTCAAGAAAACATAAAAGAGAAAAAGACTCTCTGGCCCTCTTGTTCCCTCTGATACAATGGAAATCAGAACGATTTGAGACTGCACTGCTCGGAGGAGCTTATGAGAGAACCTCTGTCAAGAGGCAAAACAAAGACAATCAAATTCCTAGTGCAACTGAGCTCTACTTAAATGACCCACTGTCTCCTAGTTACTAGGGCAGGGTCACAGGTCGCAACCTGGAAAAGAATGTGGATGAAGACAAAAGCACACAGTGTCCCTGGGAAGTCAGTGAAACTGGAGCTATTTCAAACGTAACACATGCATGGAGCGAAGACTGCCAACCAAGGACACTCCACTCCCTTCTGGATTAAATGCCTGTGTTTATCTTCCAATACACCTAAAGCACAGACCTAATCATTTTCGTAGGAATAAAGAAAGATCCAAAACAGAAGGGATCCTCAGAGGAGAGAGACAGAGTATGTGCATTGTCCCAGGATGGACGCCCTCCTCAGGCCCAGGGAAAACTAGAGAAGCAGAGGAAGGCGGGCCCCGGGAAAATGGTACCGAAGATCCGGGACATCTGAGGGTACTGAGCAGAACAACAGTGTGGGTGAGTTTGGGATGGCCCAGTGATCAGCCCTCTGGACACTCCACAAAGGGCAAGAACGAGGATGTCATTAACTGAAGTGGTGAAGGCGTCTTGAGGAAGGGAGATGTAATTCTATCACACTGCAGCTCAGTTGCAAATAACAGCGATACAGTCAAAAGTAGGTAATCGCTAAGTGAGCTGTGTTGTAGGCAGAATTTTGACTAAACCACAAGGGGAGGAGGAAGGTTCTTGCGTGTGTTGTTTGTGGGTCGTACGGGGGGAGTGTTGGATGGAGTTGAGTGTGTGTCCATGTTCTATGCCTGGAAGGACATACGCTATCTATTTCCCTTCTACAGGAGCAGGTCAACAGACAATACCCAAAGGGACTTCTTAAAAGCGATGTGAATGGGGTGGGAGTGGTGGGGATGGGGACCAGGCTGCGGGGTCGCCCAAAGGGCGGCCTTTTGTGTGCTTTGTTTTCCACAGTCTGGGAGTGAATGCTGTTTGATTTTATTAAATCATGTACAATGATTATTTTGGTAAGAAACGAAATACAAAACACAAACTCCTCCACACTCCATTCATATTTTACTGGACCTTCCCTTCATCACGAGTTTCTTTCTGATCATACTTGGAGAGGGAAAAACACCAAGAGCAGACCAAGACCCTACCCTACTAGCAGTTCCTGTAGCTGCCTATTGCATTTCTCTGGCTGGGTCTCATGATTCTAGAACCTCCGCCACCTCAGAGCTGGCTTGCCTGGGAGCCGGCCTGTGCTACAGAGGCTGGATCAGGCCCAGGGGGCTCAGGGGCTGCTTTCTCACAACACACTCATCATCTTCCTTCATGGACAGAACTTGGAACACATGGGCCCTCACAAGCCAGCCAAGTGAGTGTTTTGGCAACCTGTGAATTTGAGTTGGTTTTATCCCAACAACTACAACAGATTCCAAAGGCAAACATCTGTCCCAGCAGCGGGTGCTTAGAAGTTAACACTTTCTTCAAGTCCTGTAGCAAAGCACCAGTATGCTTTCAGAGTCCAAGACTAAACCATGTTGGTTTTCTGAACATAAATGTGTATGATACATAAATGTCTTATTCTCCTCAGTAAATAAAAGTACCCTATAATATTGTACCAGTGATTTATAGAGTTAGCCCCACAGAAAAGAACAGTGTCACTGAACACACTGTGCCCAATACATTTATCCCCACAGTCCCCAAAGAGATGAAGGCCCAAGGAATATTCATGATTGATTTCCCTCCCTTCTCACCCTCCTCATTCTCCCCCTTGTTAAAGGATAGTATCGCATCCTTCCTAGAACCTGACCCTAAATTACTATTCTTTTTTCAATGAACCATTAATGGTAACTGTCATGGACTGAGTGTTTGTGTCTTCCCCAATCCATATGTTTAAGCTCTAACAACCAATGTGATGGTATTTGGAGATGGAGTCTTTAGAAGATTAGGTTAAGATGCAGTCATAAGGGTAGGGCCCCTATGATGGAATTAGTGCCTTCCTAAGAAGAACAAGAGATGAGAATGCTTTTCCTCTCTCTGTACCATGCGGTGACATAGTCAGAAGGTAGTCATCTGCAAACTAGAAAGAGAGATCTCACTAGAACTGGCCTCTTGATCTTGGACTTCCAGCCTCCAGAACTGTGAGAAAGAACTGTGTTCTTTATAACCCACACAGCCTATGATATTAGTAACCTGAAGAGAACTGAGATAGATAACAATGCATAACAATTCCACATAAGATATACTGTCTGTTAAGACATTCCTTGGGGGCCAACCAGTGGTGGGTGTGCTTGCTATGTTAAGGTACTGGATTCCACATGGGTGACTGTGGTTTGAGTTCCAGATCTGGAGGCCTGAAAATCATGCTGGGTGAGTGTGTGTGTGTGTGCCTAAAGTCCTGAGAGGAGAATGAAGGTGAAGGGATCATGGCGTGGCCATCCTCCCTAGGGGATGATCTCAATTTTTCTTTCTTTCTCCTTCTGGCAAGTACATACACCTTATGACCACACACACACACACACACACACACACACAAAGGACAGTCCTTGAATGTCCTCTTCCCAACCCTGCTGAATCTTCTCCTTCTCTATATTCTCCAACCTGTAGCCCTTGCTCATCCAGTGCCTTGTTAGGATAACAATGACATGGGGCCTGCAGGTGGCGTAGTGGTTAAAGTGGCTGGACTCCCACATGGCTGACTATGGTTTAGGTCCTGAATCTGGCAGCTTACTTTCTCACTTTCCTTCTCTCTCTACTCAATTTCAAAAAAATAAAAAGAAAAGAAAATGAAATAATGACAATGAATACAATTAAATAAATAATTCTTTAAAAAAAAAGACAACAATGAGAAATCATCTGTGATTACCTGCTGTGGACTATGAAGTATAGGTAGTAATTTAACACAGGCAGTCACTTAATGGACACGGATGCCATGGACGTGGAAGTTCTCGGACCACCCTCCCAACCCACGTGCCCCCACATCCCATCACCTGGCAGCATGTTGTGAACTGGGGTGGCGATGTTAATGTCCTGCAGGTGCTTGAGCGTTTCTGTGTGAAAGAGGCGAAGGGTGGACCCGGAGGTGAAGGCAATCCAAATCCCCACGCCAGCCACGGCCATGTGGGAGATGACCATCCCTTCCTCTTGGTGGGCCTCCAGCTGATTCTGAGAAAATGAAGAGAAGGTCATGGAGGGGAGCATTGGGGATGAGCCTGGAGTTGTAGCACTGAGCATAGAATCTGTTGAATGGCCCCCCCAAGCACAGGGTAAATCTAAGTCGTGCCACTCATCTGATCAAGCAGCTTGTGGCTGAAATGGCATTTGATGGCCTGTGACACAATACAGACCATTGCTCCCAAGCCACAGACCTTTCCCTGTAGGTAAGATGACACCATTGTTCTTATTTTTCTCCAAGCAGATTAAAGTACTTTTCAGAATTTACCTGCATCTTCCAGTTATTGATGCACCTTTGTGAGCTGAGAAACCTGAAACTTCAAAAATATGGTGGGACCAGCAGGTGGTATAATAGTTACGTTGCTGGACTCTCACATGGCCAACTGTGGTTCAAGTGCCAGACCTGGTGGCTTGAAACTCATGCTGGGAGTGTGTGCATACATGCCCAAGATCCCATAAGGAGAAGAGAGGAGAAGGGATTGCGGTGTGGCCATCCCCCCAGGGGTAATTTCTCACTTTCTGTCTCTCTGTCTCTATCTGTGTCTCCAGCAAGTGCACTCACCCTGTAGCAAAAATCTCTCTAAAAAAAAAGAAAAACATGGAGTCATGACTTGCTGAGGGGCCTGAGTCACTAAACTTGGGTCCAAAGGGGGACACAGGACAACTGGGTACATTGGTGAGAGGAGGAAAAGGGGCAGGGCACTGACCAAGGGAGTAATCCACTTGCCTTGACCCCCCCTGAGTTGTCACAATGCTTCATGATCCATAGCATGGATTCTCTCACTGGCTCTGTAGGTGAGCCCTCCAAGGCCACCCTGATTCTGCTGCTGTGAACAGTCTTGGGTTCACCAGGGTTCTGAATGGCATCCCCCTCTGGCTCTGTCCCCTGGAAAGATCACCTTCTGCTTCTCCATTTGACCAGGTCCCTCCCAAGTTTCCAGGTTCACTTACAACCTACACCTCTGAGAACTCTGTCCTGATGCCCCTGCCCTTCATGGACTCACAGGTACTTTTGCCTCAATCATTGTAACCTGGTGTTTGCACAGACACTGCATACCACCCATCTTTCCTCAGGTGCATGCCTGGCACCTGCAGTTCCCCAGTAGGCAGTCACTGGGCTGATCCATCCACTAGTGCCACCCACATACCACCACCCTGCACAGAGCTGGAGCAGTAAACAGCTGTGGCTGCTGGTCCACCAATCAAGGATTGGAGGAAGGGGGCAGATCCTAGAAATACCATGCAAGAAAGCAGCGTCCTAAATGTTCTTGAAATTTACAGCAAATCATAGTCCTGGCACAATTTTATAAACTGGAAATATGTCATCCAGAAAAATACTTACAAGGGGAAAAACAGAGTTTTTTCTTTCCTAAGAGTTAATCTACATATTTAACACAATCCCAATCAAATTACCAGAGATCTAGAAAAGACTATAGAATTTGTCTGGAATCATAAAAGATCCCATATTGCCAAAGCAATCCTGCCCAAGAAGAGTGGAGTAGGAGGCATCTCACCCCTGACCCCAAAACGTAACACGAAGTGGTGATAACAAAAGCAGCATGGCATTGGACGAAACCAGACAGGTGGGCCAATGGATGGATAGAAACCCGGAAATAACCCCCAAACATACAGCCAACTGATTTTTGACAGAGGGCACCCATCAATCCAGTGGGAAAAAGAAAATCTCTTTAATAAATGGTACTGGAAAAATTGGGTATCCACCTACATCAAGATGAATCTGGACCTCTATCTCTCACCATTAGCAAAAATCAACTCAAAGTGGATCAAAGACCTAAACCTAAGACCTCAAACTATAAAACTACTGGTGAAAAACACTGGGGAAACTCTTGGAGACATTAGAGTAGGCAAAGACTTCTTAAATAAGACCCCCAAAGCACAGGCAATAATACCAAAAACAGACAGGTGGAATTACATCAGAATAAGAAGTTTCTGCACAGCAAAAGATACAGTCATTAGTGAGGATCAATAACCCTCAGAATAATTTGTAAACTATGCCTGAGACAAGGGACTGATAACCAGAATACACATAGAACTCAAGAAGCTTACCTGAAAAAGAATCAATACAATTAAAAGATAGAAAAATGACCTTGGGATCAGCAGTTAGCATAATGACTATGTCGCTGGACTCCCACGTAGTCAACCACGGTTCGCGTCCCGGACCCGGTGGCTTAAAACTCATGCCAGGCGCATGTGCGTGCGTGCCCAAGATCCCCAGAGGAGAATGGAGGAAAAGGGACTGTGGTGTGGCCATCCCCCCGGGAGGTGATTTCTCACTTCTGTCTCTCTGTCTCTCTCTGTCTATCTGGCAAATGCACGCGCCCAATAGCAAAAACCTCTAAAAAAAAAAAAAAAAAAACCTGAAAAAACAACTCTCTAAGGAAAAAAACACTTAAAAAGCATATGAAAAAAAAGTGCTCAACATCCCTCATCATAAGGGAAATGCAACTCAAAACCACAATGAGATACCACCTAACCCCTGAATGTTTAAGATTAAAAAAAAAATGATAATTCCTGGTGAGGCTATGGTGAAAAGGGAATTTTCCTACACTGTTAGATGGAAAGTAAATTAGTACAGCCACGGTGGAGAACAATATAGAGGTTCCTCAAAGATCTACAAGTAGAACTACCATATGATCTAGCAATTCTACTCCTAGGTATCTACCCAAAGAATAGGAGAACACTCTTGAAAAAGTGCTTGCAGGGAACCAGCAGTTAGCGTAATGGCTATGTCACTGGACTCCCACGTAGTCGACCGTGGTTCGTGTCCCGGACCCGGTGGCTTAAAACTCACGCCAGGCGCGTGTGTGTGCGTGCCCAAGATCCCGAAAGGAGAATGGAGGAGAAGGGATTGCGGCGTGACCATCCCCCCTGGGGGGTGATTTCTCGCTTTCTGTCTCTATGTCTCTCTCTGTCTGTCTGGCGAGCGCACGCGCCCTACAGTGAAAAAAAAATCTCTCCAAAAAAAAAAAGTGCTTGCACATCTAAGTTTACTGTGGCATTATTTACAATTGCTAGGACCTGGAATCAACCCGAATGTCCATGAACAGATGAATGGATGGAAAAACTGTAGTACATGTACTCTATGGAATACTACTCGGCTATAAAAAACAAGACCTGGCATTTGATAGAAGGTGGATGAATATGGAAGATTTATTGCTGAGTGAAGCAAGCCAGGTTATGAAGGAGACTTATTTTATGTCTCTACTTTATACCAATTGTCTACACTCTATGGGGGAAACTGAAAGACTGGAAGATACAGAAGCATGGAGAATGGCTATAGATACTCGAGAGAGTGTGGGAAGAGGACAGAAGATGGGGAAGAGTGAGAAGAAAGAAATCAAAGAGAAGAATAGAAAAGGGAGACATGTATGAGACACAGAAATGGAGGAGTGTCTGTTGATGATAATACGTATGATATCTTCAACTGGACTGGTGTGAAGTGTATTCACGTTGGGTAATCCATTTTACAAGCTGTAGTGATGTACAATGATTGACTGTATAAAATAAATTAGAATAGTAAAAGACAAAACAAAACAAAACAAGAACAAGGGGAGACTGTCACTGGCCCACTGCCTTCTGGAGACTGTTTTTCCTCAATGTTGTGTGTCCGTCCCTGCCCAGAAACATGCATGAAAAGGCTCCCTGGTTAAACTCCATCCCATAACCACACCCTGCACTGCACTTGCTGTGCTAAAGTCAGGATGAACACACTGATTTTGCCCTTGAATGGAAGATACAATATTCAACGATATCATGTCTTATTTTAACTGAAGATTCCATTTGGAGTGGTGGGGATGGCTTTGTGTGTGAACGAGGCTGCAAATCCTGGGGAGAAAAGCTGTGTGAGGAGAGGGTGCATATGGAGTTGGGTACTCCAGGGTCAGAACCACTACTCTGGAAGCAGCCCACACATCACCATGTAAGGTGAGCAGACCCCACAACCATCTGTCTAGCCCTAGGGCAAACTGTTCCCTGATATATGGGACAGGATGTAGTAACTTCAGGCAGGGCAGGAGAATCCTGCTTGGTGGGTCTGACACTGGGTCTGCAGGGAGGGGACATACTTAAGTCCTCCGCTGTCCTATGGTCAGAAAACAAGGAGTGGCCATTTTTTTCTAAGGCCCATCCTATACCTAAAATGCCCATGCCATAGTTGACTCTGCAACATTTCTTACATGCATATAATTTCCTTCTATAACATTATTCAGAGCTAGTCCCACAGTACAGTGGTTAAGCATTGTGCATAGGGAGATAGATCTCCCATGGCCAATGGTTGTTCAAATTCTGACCCCAGCCTCTTGAAAATCATGCCAGGTACGTGTGTGTGTGTGTGTGTGTGTGTGTGTGTGTGTGTGTGTGTGAGAGAGAGAGAGAGAGAGAGAAATCCTGTTGGGAAGGAGATATGAAGAAGGGATTACAACATGACCACACCCTATTGGGGAGGGTGCTTTCTCTCTATAGCGAGCATGTATACCCTCTGGCATGAAAAGCAAACAATCAATCAAATTTAAATAATGACAGGTTGAATTTAAGTATGTCAGTAGAAAACAATTTTTGTGTTGACAGTTATAAGGAAATCCCTGAATCACTGACTTAATTGTCACACACAGAACCTATCTCCTCCTTTGCAGTGGAGCAGGGGTCAACATACAAAGATCGTAAGTATTTTTTTTTTCTTTCTTTTGGGGAGAGGTTTTTGCTATAGGGCACATGCACTTGCCAGACAGACAGAGAGAGACAGACAGAAAGCGAGAAATCACCCCCCAGGGGAGATGGCCACGCCACAATCCCTTCTCCTCCGTTCTCCTCTTGGGATATTGGGCATGCACGCACGCACATGCACTCGGCGTGAGTTTTAAGCCACCTGGTCTGGGATGAGAACCTTGGTTGACTACGTGGGAGTCCAGCGACATAGCCATTACGCTAACTGCTGGTCCCAAGATCTTAAGTATTTTTATGAACTGAAATGT